TTCCCCGGCCCCGTCCCCCTCTCGCCGGCGTCTCGGGGTGTGAGAGCTTCTGGGCTGCGGGGAGGTTTGGGTGCGAGGCAGCCCAGCGCCCTTGTGGTTGTTTTACTGGGGAAGAGCAGTCAGGTGTGGTGTCCGCTGCTCTGGGGTGAGGTTTGGGGCGGTGGGGCCCCCCCCGGCCGGGTGCGCAGGGCACAGGGCAGCTCTGCCGAGGGCTTGGCCTGAGAACAGGCATGGCATGGGGTCAGCACGCCGGGTGCTTCTCTCCGTCAGCGTGATGTGCGGGAAAGTCTCTCCGACCGTACGATGCGCCCGGAAAGTAAAGCAATAATATTTCTTTGTGATCAAGGGGAGCTTTTGTTAGTAGGAACTTAGAAAGCACTGGGAGTGCCGTACATGGGAGGTTTTAGTTGCTCGTTCATCAAATTCTCCCATGTGGTATTGCTAAAAAATGTATTTTGCCTTCTGCCTTGAAAATGCAGTTATATTGGAGATTGATCTCCCTACAAGTACACAGAAATGCTTGTTTCTTTTTTCCTCCTTTAGAAACAATATTGAAAATAATATATGTGGGGATGCAAACCATAACAAATGGTCCACTTTTTGAAGCACACCATAATGATTTGTTTATGTTATTGTATATAATCTGCATGTGTGTAGAAAATACTTTTTTTTTCTTTTAAAAAACACTTTTATTAAGTTACTGTTTGTGACATAGGGACCTGAAGAGGACCAGGAGTCTGAGTCGGAGCTAACTGTGACGCAGCTGAAGGCACTGCGTAAGCAGCAGCAAGCAAAATTAGAAAAGACAATGTTGGGAGAGGACTCTGATGAGGAAGAGGAAAAAGAGGAGAGGAGTAATGAGAAGAGTCAGAACAGTGACATGAGCTGCTTGTGGGGAATGGGTAAGTGATGATGCATAAATCAGCCGATACACCTTGGAAGGTCTTTAAGCTGGTTTTCAGTGAATACGTAAATTGAAATTCCATCTGGATGCCAAGTGTCCCAATCCAGTAGAAGTTCCTGAGTACAAATTAATACTTTTCTTTTGCAAAAGAGTAGAGCTGTGATGAGGCAAGTTTGTGTCTAGTGAGAACTATGGGAGAGCTCCCTTTAAAATCAGGGAGAAGGTAATTTGCCTATGCCTATAAAAGGACATGAAACTGAGAATTTAGGTGAGTGTTTTGTTCCTGTGATGATGTCCCCACTTTTGCCCGAGAGGTGAAATTTGATTGTTTGAGATGTCTATGCAGTATAGATGTCTTTAAATTTTAGCAGCAAGTCCACATCTTAAAGCTAGATAAATTGCAATTAATGAGCTTTTCAGTACAAAATTAATTGGTTTTTTGAATGGAAATGTATAAGCACATAAACCCTTGAAAGTGCTGGAACTGCAGTGATGTTCATTTGCAAAACTGTATCTTCTAATGGAATGACTAATAGCAAAAAAGAAGCTTTTTTTAATTGGATGCAGAGATAATCATAAAGGGAAGTAATTCTAGGATGATGTACCTGATACTTTTTTCAAACTAGTGAAAGCTGAAATACACTGGTATTCTCTTCCTAATGTTTTGGTTTTTTTTTCTTTGTTTTGCACTTTGTATGTGTTCTGGTAGGGGAGGATGCTGAAGAAGACGAGGTTGAGGAAAACCCTATTGCTATTGATTTTCAGGATGTACAAGATGCCTTCTATATGAAAGATCCTAGGAAGGCTTTACAGGGCTTTTTTGACAGAGAAGGTACTTTTTCTTTTATTTTTTTTTCTGTTTTAATTACATTTATTTTCTGTTTAGCAAAGTATGACATTTGTGCTCATGTTTTCCTTTGGGAATTAAGTTGTGGGAGCTAAAGTTCTCTGTTACATTATGGGTAAGGTTTCTTGTCTGTTCAAGTTTAGGGGCAGGGAGCTGGTGGTGTTTGCGGTTGGTATTTTTTATTAAAACTTAGCTCACTATTGTAGATCTGAGACTTAGTTACTAATTTCCAAACTGGGAGTTGCAGAGAGCACCTTGTATTCTTCTGGATTGACGCTCAAACCACACTCATGTTTTGAAGCTATGTTGAAAAGTCCAAACCCATCAAATTCCAGACTGTTCTGGTTGGAAATGGCTATGATTATGAGACAGAATTGGAAAGTATAAAAAGACAAAAGGCAATAACGAATTGAACTAAACTTTTGAAGGTTGCTAGCAAAACTTAGAGATGAAAAAAGTGAAAAAAGTGAAAAATTAATCTTCAAGACAAACAGTATCTTTGAATCCAGACTGCAAACTGTCATTACTTCAATGTCATTTGCTTCAATACAGAAGATGCAAGATTGTTTTTTCTTTGAGCTACATATTCCTGAATAGGCCACTTCCAGATTTTTGATCTGAAAAAGCCTCGACTGTGAAAAACAACCAAGTGAGCATAATATCAACTGAAGATCCTATGGCTTAAAAAAAAAAAAATTAGTCCTTCGATGTGTAACAAAAGCATTTCATCTCTCTTGTTTAACCATGACATTCCTCTCTGCTAGAAAGATTATTTCTGCTTGTTTCATTTTTGGTAACTATCAACTTACTTTCTTTTCATCTCTAGGAGAGGAGTTAGAATATGAATATGATGATCGTGGGCACAATAGCTGGCTATGCAGGATCAAGTATGTATATCTCCATTCACTTTTGTACATAGAAGCTGGTTGCATTGAATGCACAGACAAAAGCTGAAGGAATTGCCTTGTCCCACTTGCCAAGGAGGCCAGCTGGAACTGGGCCTAAGCCTTGATACTGAGACAGAAGTTCAGGGATCAGTGCCTAGTTCAGTGTCTGCACTCCTTGCTGGTCTCTCAGCATTTGGTGTTCCTGAGATGAAAATCAGGAAAGCAAGAGTCTAGGTTCTTTCAGTTCCCCTTTTTTTTGAGAAATAGATGAAATTGAAATAGAAGAGAAGAAACAGGGAGACAATATTTTTTAATTACTAATGAGAGAGAGAAAAAAAAAATCATTCTACTGTGTAGCTAGTTTCAGTTCTTTTATGGAGGCCACTAACATCATTCTTTTGTTAGAGAGGAGAAGATGGGGTGGAAATTTAAGTCAATAGGATAGATCTCAAAAGGATAGGTACAACATTTCAATGAATGTGCTGTTTCAGAAACCTTTGCTTCAGTGTGGTGTGAAATACTTGCTACTGGTGTTACATAGATGCAAGATACTAGTGCTTAAAATGATTCAGGTATTGACATTCAACCTTATAACTTCTTGTATTCCCAATGGAATTAATATAGGAAGAATTGTTGTTTGGACCAGTGAAATAAAAATTTACTTGCGTGCTTTAGCAAATCCATGCTTGTGTTTTGATTGGTACTGTGTGAAATGAAATGTGAAAATACTTAACCCACAAAAAAAGACTAGGGGGAAAGAAATGGAAAGAACAATGCCAACATGGTAAATACAATACCTGAGTAGCATCCTTGCAAAGCTGTTTGTGCTGGAGCTGTTTTCTGATCCGTCAAATTGAATAGGTTGCCTGTGGATGATGCATCAGGGAAGCAGCTGGTGGCAGAGGTTCTCCATTCAGGAAAGAAGAAGGAGGCAATGGTACAGTGTGCACTGGAAGCTTGCAGGCTGCTTGATGCTCGGGGAGTGCTGAGGCAAGAAGCAGGTGAATAACCAGTCAAATGCTGTGATCATGCTGAAGCCCTAAACAAGGGATTTGAGATTTCTGTCTTGAATTTGTTTTATTGCTCAGTGGTGTGCAAATCGTTTTGTTTCTTGCCTTCTCCCTTACCTTTCCCAGTATCACGAAAAAGGAAATCAAAGAACTGGGAAGATGAGGATTTTTATGACAGTGATGATGACACTTTCCTTGATCGAACTGGTGCTGTAGAAAAGAAACGACTGAACAGAATGAAAAAAGCTGGTAAAATAGAAGAAAAACCAGAGACTTATGACTCCCTGGTAAGAAGAATTAATGTGACATGCCAGGCTTACTCTCTCACGCATGTATTATTACTAAGAAGGAAAATCAAAAATGTTTCCTGATCTTTCTTTGTTAGCCTGAACTCTACTCTAGTATCATTTCAGACCTTTAGCTCTCAGTTGGCCAAGTTAGAATAAAATAGTGGTTTTTTGATTTGTGAACAACATTTATAAATACCTGAAAATACTGCTTACTTTATTATAGTGGAAGCATGCTACTTTGCTTTTGCCTGTGTAGTATTGCCTTCTACTTTGTTGATCGTGGCAGTGGGTGAATGAAATACCAGGACGGGATACTTCTAAAATAGTTTTAAAGCATCATAAAATAATTGCAAGTTTTCAGGTGCACAGGGCACATCCCAAAGAAGGATCTCATTCTTCTTCAAAGAATAAGCAGCCTGGAGTAACAGGCATATGACAACTAAAAGTCCTGCGCAGGCACTAAGGTGTGTGGGAGCAGGGATAGCAAGGGTTGGAGGATCACAGTGGTGGTATAACATTGCTGCAGAAGCATTATACATATTTTTTTTTGTGTTTCAAAAAGTAAGTTATCTGAACAGTATTGGAAACGACTGATAAGTTTTTTAGGAACAATCTAGACTAATTTTTTCAGCCCAGAAACTCCTGGTCAAAGATCAGAAGTAGAATAGTGGAGGCAATTTGATAGGATATTTGAGTAACTCTTAAAAGGATATTTTAAGATGATGAAAAGATCTTCTAAGCATGTTGTTCTTTCATAGGTCACAAAGCTGAATGAAGCTGAAAATGAGCTTTCTGAGATAACGGAGAAGCTGAAGGCTTCAGGGAAAGGTACAGCATAAAGTTCATTTGACCATGGTGCTTTCCATAAAGAACAGTAAAGAGATGAAAATGTATCTTACTTATGTCTGTCTTAAGTGCTTCTTTTTTTAGTGTCTGCTTTTCACAAAGGGGTGGGAAGATTTGCAGGTCACTGAGTTAGCTGGACAGGATACTTAACACTCTTCATCTAATAGGTTATGTACTCTGTGTATAGTCACTTGTTAACGACTTCAGCTTTTTCCAAAGCAAGGAGCATCTAAGTTAAGGTAAGGAGCCGAGTGTACAAGCTCCTGGAGGTTAAGGGGGTAAGCATTATTACTATTTCTCTGCCCATGTTAGTGTCACGGACCCAATTTGAGGAGCACGTTTTTCCATTCCTTCCATAACCATTGGTAAGGGAAGAGCAAAGAATTGACAGGAAAGACAGTAGCTTTTATTTCATGTCTCTCATTGCAAATGCACCTTATAAAGGAAAGGCTGGAAGAGAGAAATGTGGAGTTAAAGCAGTTGACGCTTAGTCCGTATGTTCAGTGAATTTACTAGCTTATGAGGGTGCCATTCAGGTTCTAGGATTATGCCTTTGGGTATGAAGACAGAGCCTTTTCAAAGTGGGCATCGTATCTGGTAGTGAGTTAGACTTAAAAGCTTACTATACAAATAGGTGCATTTTGCTTTCTGTTACTGCTCATGTCTTGTGGAATAAAACAAAGGCATGAAGGAAACGTGTTTAGGCTGGTTCTTCATACAGAAAGCTTTATAACAGAGTTGGCTTTAATAAAGATTGCAACGTCAGTTTGTCAGAAGAGCTTCTCTCCAAGAAGCCTAGCAGCAATCTGACAGTTGGGCTATCTTTTGTGCATTATATGGGTATGTTTCTTTCTAGTAATTCAGCCCCACACCAAAACTCATTTGTATCAACGTTTTTGTTGATGATTGATTATACCAGATCACTGTTCGGCAAACAGCACTGTTGCACTGAGCATTCTAACTGATGAGTCGGTTCAGTGTGTTTGAAGGAATCGTTTTCAGCATGACTGTTCTGATAAGTAGTTAATGATTGACTACCAAGAGAAGCTAATGCTTTATATTGTCCGAGACATGTAATTCCAAGCTTTCATATGTTATGATGCCTTTGTTTCTGCTGATACTGTTTCTCAACAAGACTGCTAAATCGTGTTGTAGTAGAGGCTGGGAGAAGGAAGAATCAGTTCATTTATAGGCTTCTACTAACAGCTTGTAATTCTAATGTAGGTTTTCATGGTTTGGTAAATTGTAACTGGTTCCACAGCTAGTTTAGTGCCTTGGAAAAATTGCAGTCCCAGCCCTTACTGCAATACAGAGTAATTCCGTATTGGATGGGAATTTCTAGAACTAGGCAAGGATAAAACATAGCAAATATTGCCTCATCAGTTACTTGTGTGTGTTCTAGAAAATTGTATCTTCTCCAATTTCTTTGTATGCTTCAGGTTAATCACAGGTGTTAGGTACAAGTGTAAGCCAGGAGCATGCATATTGATCATGGGTGATTGTTGCCACTGTCACGAGCTGTCTGGCAAAGCTGCTGCATTACATACAGTTCTGAAACCTTAACAAGCTTTTGCTTGCTCTAAACGATTATTTGTAGCCTAAGGGCAGGAGTGTAGAGAGACCAATGAGTGAATGACAGGCTAAATTGCAACACCTCTTACCAAGAACTTGGCGAAATTAAGTGGTTGTCTAAAAGATTGTAGTAGAAGTTCACAAATTTTTCCCTGGAGTTCTTCAGAACTAACTACTGATGGACTGACTTGGTATCTCTCATTCACTGATGCAGATGAATGATAATCAGATACATAGAGCTCTTCAGTTTCATCTTTGGTTGCCTGTTCAGAAGAAAATTATCAGTAAGTTGATGGTGCAGTAAATAGCCCTATAGCTTTTCTCACTGGAATATAAAGTATAATAGCCATGATTGATTTGCCTCTTAGCAATGTCAAACTTTACTTCAGAGTGTGGAAAACAGCTGCAACAGATACAAAATGCTAACAGGAACCCTGTAAGCTGAATTACCTGATCTTAGGCATTATTGGTGGAATCAAGCAGAGAATCCGATTTGCAAGAAGGAGTGATCTGACTCAGTGAAGATCACTCGCTGAGTGAAGCACACATACACTGTTCTGCCGATAAAGAAGCAGCTGTGGAACTGTACCTTTGATTGTTCTGAATTTAGTCTAGACACTAAACTTTATCTTTGAAATCTGGTGTTTAAATTAAGTGATAATTATGCTCAGCTCCTGCCTGCTAGGAGTTTCAGACTGTTTGTTAAAAATACCTTTTAACTGATGATTTTTGTCTCAGCTAGTACAAATAGTTAAGAGGAAAAAGAGAGTATTTCTATATGAATTTCTTTTATGACATGTTTTGTCATAATTTGTATTTGCATGGAGGTGGATGCTACAACTCTTTCTTATCTTTTGGAGCCTTTCAATTCTGTATAACTTTGAACAGTTACTTAGTGGCTTTCTTATATTTGCAAATTGTAAACTGTTTTGTTCTAGATAAGAAATACCCTTTTCAGTTTAGTCCATTTGTAAATGTGAATCTCATTAGACTTTTCTCTAAATATTTGAGTTGTGTAAAACTGCTTGAATATGTACTTTTAACAACTTACACTATTTTATTTGTACACATTTAAAATTTCAAGTGTTATTTAACTCACACTGAACTGAAAATAGCTCATTGGTCCCATAACTGTTCTTGTACATATATACATAAATGCTTGTAATGCAGCAAATATATACCAGATTTGCCACTTACCATATCGTATGAAAAGGCAGAAGGCTCCCTGTCAAAAGGCTTGTCAAAATTCTAGCAACAACATTTTTCTTTGTTTGCCTCCAGGTTATTTTTTAACACAATACAAAAACTCATGCAGTATTGTTCAAGCCCAACAAAGGAGTCTTCCTGGACTCTTTTTAAAAAAAAAAATCCATATATTAGAATTCTGTATTTATTTTTCTTAGTTATTACAGCTTTGGGTTTCCTCCTGAGTTTTATTATAATTGGTCAAATATGCATAGAATTATTAATATTTGAAATCAGGTGGCATAGAAGGGCTATCATTACTCTTTTTCAAGTACAGAGCGGTGTTTTCTTGTGAGAAAATCAAGTCAAAACAAAGGTCAATTTTGTGTGACTGGCCTAAAGTACTAAACTAGTCTTGTATGCACTCAGTCATCCAGGGTAGGAGGCAGCATCACGTGTTGATTCAATTCAAGCTCTGCAAATGTTATTACATAAACATTCCAGGAAAGCCAAAATGGGATTTCCCATGCAGTGGTGTGGGATTCTTTGTAGCTGTGTTTATTTTAGTCTGTGACTATAACAAAGAACCTGTAAGTCACTTTTTTAGGGACAGCAGATCTTGAAGTGAGAGGAACAACCTAGAATAGAGACACTTACTCATAAAGAAACATTCAGTTTTAAAAGAAGTTTGGTTATGTAAGTGGATTAAGGTTTGCTGTTGGGCTTTTATTAGGAGAAATGCTTTCATCTTTCCAGGTCTAACAACCTCCACTACTTCACCATCCAACAGAAACTTGCAGAGAGGATAATGGTTCCTATATACCTTATCCCCTATAGACAGGATTTGATGAGTATAACTCTCATCTCCCCACCTGTAACAATATGTATCTTTCCTTTATCTTGCCTAGTTCAGTCCCAGCCAGCAGCTCAAGATTCCTTGGACGAATTCATGACTGAAATAAAATCAGGTTGCACCTTAGACAGCGTGGCACGAAAGAAACTTCATTTGCGGTCATTTGAACTGAAGAAAGAGCAACAGAGACTGAAACGCTTAATAAAGCTTGTCAAGCCTGCAGAACTGCCCGAGCTGAAGCCCCAGTAAGTCTCGGCTGAAGTGTAAAATGATTACTTTTACCGTTGTTATTGTCCATGGGCAGTTGTGCAAGCCCAGTGCGTAGACAGCTTTTCAAACACAAAAGCAGGACAGCCTTCCAAACTACCTGGCTCACCTCTTTAGAGAACGGCTGTGCCTTTTGGCCCTTGCTGCATCTACCGTTGAGGCAGATCCACCACGACAGTGGAGTAAGATAAGCCCACACTGGGAGGATGGGAAGGAGAAGGGATTGGAAACGTGGTGTCAGCTTTCCTGATTTTTTTTTTTTTCCCCAACCTACATCCAAAAGGAACTGAAAATATTTACAGTTATGATGTACAACATGAAAACCACTTTCACACCATGAAATGTATGTGGAAGTCGGGTGTAGTGGCTGTTCAACTACTGCCTAGGAACGCTGCTGCAATTCACGTGGGCGTGTACTGGGTTCATCATTTGCTAGTGGCAGCTTGATTAGAGGTTTAATTACTTAATTTAGTTAAATTGAGATTTGGCATCCAAGTGTGTTATTACATATAGATGTGTATTATATAGGGATGTAAGTATGTGTGCGCAATTGAATTCGAGGGAGTCTGTGTGACAGATTTTTTTTTTCTTTCCCATTTATTTTTTACTTCCTGTTATGGCAAGTGTCTGAATCCTACAACATGTATGTAGGATGAAAGAGTCATCTCCCACAGCTTCTTCCTTGGATGCTGCAAGTGAGAGAGAAATGAAAGGATTTTTATACGTCCACTTCTAACTTGCAGATTTTTTTGCGTTTTTAAGTGTAAGACTTCTTTTTATACTTTATATACTGTTTTCCTTTGTATCTGATTTTTATTAGGAGTGGGAGTTACAGTCTGGGAGCAGAGAGCAAGCCTAAAAAGATTACCATGCCTCTCTTTGGTGCAATGAAAGGAGGGAGCAAATTCAAGCTGAAAACTGGAAGCCTAGGGGTAAGTTGGACTCGTAAGTGCTGCAAGTCAGAGGCGATTTCTCAGACACCTGCTAAGGCTATGGAGATTGTAGGTGGCAACCGTGCCTTCTCACATGCATGCAAACAGCATGGAGGCACAAGCCTGTGACAGTGGAAGGGGGACCCGGCCGAAA